TAAACTGTTTAATTCTGAATTTCATAACTGCCACATAATCGCCATCATCAAAACCATCCCAAAATGCCATCCCAAATAAATCGCAAAGCATAAAAGGAAGGAATCAGAATGTGAAATTAAGTGTAATTTACATCTTAATCATCAAACAATAATCAGAGCAGGAAAAAAAATCTTACTGTAAATGTTAGGCTTGGCAATAATTCTATACCATCAGTCAAATTATTTATCCAGTCCATTATCCATTTTTCCTATATTAGGCAGACCTCTGGAATGGACCATGTGTTGTGACGAGTATAAGGAACAGCTGGTGGATCACACCTCACTGATGCTCAATCTCTTTGGACACGTGGCTCAGACTAAGCAGGCTCTGGCCACCCAGTACAGCTTCAGACTGCGCACACCAGATCTGGTTATCGCTGTGAGTTTAAAGTTACAGTTCAACTGCTTAATCCTTTGATTGGTTGAAATAATTTAGTGCTAAATTGTGTCTTATATGTGGTTCTTCTCAGCCTGTATGTGATGCTGTCTTGGGACAAGAAGTGCCAGTCAAAATCACTTTCCAGAATCCACTGCCTTGTGTCCTGAAGAACACTGTATTCCGCTTTGTGGGACTTGGACTGCAGCATGCCAGAGTTGTCAACTATGGGTAAAACTAATTTCATGAATGCTTAATTAATTGAGCATGACTGCTGCATTACTCTGTATTTTAAAATTATTTAAAATAAAATACTTTAAATATATATATATTTAAGTTAAAATAGTATTAAGTAATCTCTTTCTTTCACAGTGACATTGCAGGGCATGCTACAGTGTGCCTGACGGAGAAGTTTATTCCCAAGTGTCACGGCCCACAGAAACTTCTGGCATCATTTGATTGTCCTCAGCTCACTCAGGTGCATGGATTCACCAACATTGTTGTCAAACAGCACTGTTAAACCAATCAAATAACCAAAACAGAAGTTTGGTAACACTTTCTATGAAGCCCATATTTATAACACATTATAAGGGTATTCTTAAGGCATTATAATGAATGCATAATGCATTATAAAAGACCTTATAATATGTTATATCATCTTATAAATAATCATAATAATTATAATTATAATTACAATTATAATACATTATAATGCTTACGCATTTGTGGTTATAAGTTTTAAGATTATGATTATTTATAACACACAATGAACACCATATAAAATCTATTTTTACATTTATAATGGACTATCTTGACATTGTTTATTTAAAATGAAAGAGATTATGGCAGTAGTGTACTTTGACATAGAAAAGGCGTATGACACAATATGGAGAGAAGGACTGTTAATTAAAGCAGCAAGGATAGGAATAGATGGTTATATGTATAATTGGCTGTAACAGTTTTTATTTGAAAGAACCTTTGTAGTTCAAGTTGGATTAGGTCAATCTGCGACTTTTGAAGCTGAAAATGGTATGCCACAAGGGAGTGTTGTCAGTCCAATTCTTTTTAATATTATGATTAATTATATTTTTGACAACTTAGGATATGTTGTGGCGTGTGCCTTATGCTGATGATGGCGCTATTTGGAAGAGAGGTCGAAATGTATCTCACGTGACTGCAAGTATGCAAACAGCTATTAAAAAGGTGGAAAAATGGACTATAGAGTGGAGTTTTAAAATGTCAACAAGTAAATCATGTTTTATGTTCTTTAGTAGGAAAAGGAAAGTTCCAACAGACACTACTGGTATTATAGACTACAGAGTTGGTATTATATGGTAAACCTTTAGAAAGAGTTCATGTTTTTAAGTAGCTGGGAATTTGGTTAGATGAAAGTTATACTTGGAAGAAACATATTGAAGAAACAGATAAAAATGCAGGAAATTTTTAAATGTGATGAGATCAGTTGCTGGAAAAGAGTGGGGAGCAGATAGAGAAACTATGTTAACAATATATCAAGCCCTGATTAGATCTATACTTGACTATGGATCTATGGTTCACAATTTGAGTTGAATTACTGAAATAAATGAACTTTTCCACGACATTCTAATTTATTGAGATGCACCTGTATTGGACATCAATGAAGAGTCATGCTGGAGAACATTTCTAAAGATGTATTGAATAATTGTTGGGAATATACAAAGGAAAAAAGGAAGGGTTTTGGATGGAATATTAATCAACTAGCAGAAAGATATCAGATTGCAAATATAGAATGTAGTATGTCTCCAGTATGGGGCGAGGTACCAGCTTGGTTAATTCCTGAAGTTAAAATTGATTTGGAAATACTGGACAAGACAAGGGACTGGGAGGAAATGGGTAATAACAAATATGTGGTGAATAGACATTTACAGCAAAGATTTTATGCGAGTACGCATATTTATACAGATGGATCAAAAGACCCAAATATAGGGCTTGCAGGAATAGGAGTTTTTATCCCGGACTTGAATGTATCAATAACTAAAAGAGTATCATCTAAGCTATCAATATATGCTATTGAAATGGTCGCTATCATAATAGGATTGATGTGGATTGAGGTAAGACCAGACAGAGTAGTGATATGCTCTGATTCTGCTTCTGTGTTAACATCGTTGTCCACCCATCATTCATGTAGAGAAGACTTATTAAGTGAAATATTGACATTACTATGGCATGTACAAAGAAAAGGTGTATTAGTTGGTTTCTGCTGGGTGCCAGCACATGTGGGCATATTGGGAAATGAAACAGCTGATAAATTGGCAAAAGATGCTTTAAAAAATCAAGTAGATGTTAATGTTGCTTTAAGTAAAGGTGAAATCAAAACTATAATTATGGAAAATATTTTAAAAGGATTGGCAAGAAATATGGAATTCAGATAATAAGGGGAGGCATTTATTTAATATTAACATTTTTTTTTAATAATAAACGAATCATTAGTGGTAGAACCAGTAGGGTACAAGTCATTATAACAAGGATGAGACTTAGACACACAGGACTGAATGCATCACTATTTATTTCGTAACACCGCCCAAATGTTTACGCAAAGAAAGAAGGCGTAACTTTGGTTGCATCCGAAAACTTAGGCAGCTGACTTGCTGCCATATGAGGCAATAACTTTGCAGGCAGCGTTTTTGCACGAAGGCACCTCATGAAACTGATTGCGGACAGGCTTTT